ATGTTTATATGTTTTTTTCTTTTTTAGAGACAGCATCTCACTCTGTTGCCCAGGCTAGAGCACAGTGGCATGATCATAGCTCATTATAAGCTCACATTCTTGGAGTTCAAGCAATCCTCCTACATCAGCTTCCCAAATAGCTGGGACTATAGGCATAGTCTATAACACACAGTGAATTTTTCTACTTTGAGTAGAGACAGGGTCTCTACAGGGTCTCACTCTTGCTCAGGCTGGTCTTGAACTCCTCACCTTAAATAATCCTCCTGCCTTGGTCTGTCAGAGTACTAGGATAATAGACATAAGCCACAGCTCCCAGCCCCTGTTCTGATTTTTTTTTTAATTCTTTACTACTATACTATAGAGGACGCTGTTTTGATATTTTAAATAATAAGCATGTATTACTTCTGTCATTAAAAAGTAAACCAAAACTGTTTACATTTGCATACTTACTGTAAAATACTCAAAAGTAGAGAAAATACAAAAAGAAAATTAGAATTCCCATTAATCTGACCACCTAAATTTACTTATGCACAGGAAGTCTTTCTGTCACAGGGAGGCGACATTGGTAAATGTGGTGGTGACACATGCGGATATCACACAAATGCTGATTTTTAATGCTTCTTTCAAAGCTGCTCTACTCCATGTATGGCAAAGAGTGGGTCTATTTTTGTCTCCCATTATTTCTTCTAACAAATCCATCTGGGAAGCAGTGACCCTACAAGGGACCAAGTGAACATGACTATGGCATGTCCAAGGACATCACTACTGATCAACTGATTCACAATCTTTAGATTTTTTTTTTGAGACAGAGTCTCACTTGGTCACCCTCTGTAGAGTGCTGTGGTGTCTTAGCTCACAGCAACTTCAACTCTTGGGATCCAGCAATCCTCTTGCCTCAGCCTCCTGAGTAGCTGGAGCTATAGGCACCTGCCACAAAGCCTGGCTAAAAGAGGAAAAGCCTCTTGCTCAGGATGGTCTCGAACTCCTGAGCTCAAGTGATCCAACTGCCTCATCCTCCCAGAGTGTGAGGATTGCAGGTGTGAGCCACCACAATGGCCTACACTCTTTAAAGATGTAACTATACTTGCTACTATGCAAATTCAATCTCTACAAAGTCTGCACAGGGCACGACCCCCAGATTCTCTTTTGCGGGTTTTCTTCTGTCTTGCTCCCTCCTGGTCATGCTCTTCTTACCTGAGCTGGCTTTGAAAACCGTGTGGCAGAAGCTGTCAGATTCTTGAGGAGCTTACAAGCTTCCTGTAGTGTGTTATTAGTTTGCAGACCATAAACC